CATTGGGAAGGGCTTTGCCTCTGCGATTTTTCCATTTATATTTCTTTCTATTTTGAATTGGCTTTTGCTCCTTGCAACCAAAGGTCTCAGGTTTTATTTTATTCTTCCTTTTTGTAGCTGCAGCAGCCGACATGTCATTTATCATGGGTGTAGATTACACTCGTTTACTAGGACGAGTGTATGTACCAAAGGTTAGAGCCAGGAATGCCCTCAAGGGCAAAATGCAGGAACGGAGGAGTGCCTGAAACACAGTGAGAGAAATCGGACTGGGGAGGGAGACGGCCACCACCGTTGTAAAGCATGTGTTGTTTGAACATTTCTCAGCATCTGTCAAACAAACCTGAAGTTTCCGCACGTGTGTGGTATTTTCACTTTTCCTCCGAGTGGGGAGAGGCACCGTCTCCCTGGCCAGCCCTGCAGCTCTCTCTGGAGGGAGGCCGCGGCTGCGGGGAAGCCAGCTCTCCCAGGGACCCGGGGGAAGCTGCCGCGCCGCTGTTCCTGCCGTTGCCTGTTCTTTGCTCAAAAGTTGGCAAATGCTGGTCATGTCGTGGGTCTATTTATAGTAGGCACACGTCTAACCACCTCGGTCTTTTCCTAGCACCAGCTTGACACGCTATCAATTATCCAGGAGGTGAATGACTGCACTAGGGGAGCTATTTGAGGCAGGTGCCCTGAGGTGAGAGATAGGGGGTGGAGGTCACCTGGGGACAGCTCCAGCTGCCGGGTAAAATAGACCTTCCTCCTTGCCTCGGGGCAGACGCACTGCTGGGGGTCCCGGCAACCTGACCCTGCCCTTCCTCGGGTCTGCCGAAGGAGGGGACTAGGGCGGTCCTTCCCCAGGAGGTCATTTCTGTTAGCTGCTTGTCTGGGGGAAGCTGGAGGCGAGGCAGGCGGGGTGTGAATGGGAGTGGGCTGTGCCACAGCCCCAGGTGGCCCCGAGCAACCCCTTCACCGCCCTCACCTTCCCTGCCTTTGTTCTAGATCAGTTTTGTTTTAGCTTTTTTTTTTTTTTTTAAGCTTCTCCTCACATGACACCTTTCCTCTTCTTCCACCTTTTAAGCAAATGGCGTAAGGGAGACACGGAGTGCCCCCTTGTATGGGCCTAGCTGTCCGGCGCTCTGTAAATTCTCTGTCATCCTCTGGGTCTGCTCTGTGGGGGCTGGGGCTCGCCACCAGGCCTGTCATGAAGATGCTGACGTCACTGTCTCCGCTCCAGGAATCCGGCTGCACAGCAAGGTGGTGTTGGAGGCATTTCTGCTTTCCTGTGACCTCCCGGCTCGCCCTTGCAGCCCATAGCTTCTGTCCACCAGGGACGGGGAGCCCGAGGAGGGAAAGGCCAGGTGAAGTCAAAAAGGATGAAAAGTGAATTGATTAGGCTTGCTTTCAGCCTTGCCTTCTGCTCCCAACTGGCTCGGACTCTTCACCCCCTTTCTCAGCGCCCCAGCGCCCTGTCTGCCTCCATTCCATTCTGGGGCCGGGAAGCGTCCCCTTGATGGGTGTGGTGCAGACTCCTTGGGGACTGGGCGGCTGGGTCCTGCGGGGCCAGAAGCCCTTGGGAGGCTCCTGACCACACCACTCAGGCAGTGGCTGGCGGCCCTCCCCGGGGCCGGCTCCAACTCTGATGCCATTTGCCAGATAATCCACTTTCCGGCCGTGTCTAGCACCACAGAGTGTCTGGGTCTGTGAGTATCCCGGTGCCATTTAAACCCGCTCCAGGTTCCGGGCGATCAGCTTGCAGCCTTTGTTATCTGCTGGCGCAGCCAGCTGGCCCTTCCCCTTCTCCTGGCCACACCACTCCAGCCGGACCCGGCTTGTCCTGTAGAGAGCGTGCCGTGGGGAGCATTGGAGACCTCTCCTCTGAGCACAGAGTGGAAGGCTTCAGGCAGACGGCGTGTGTGAGTTTGCACACGCGTGTGGCCCGCGTGAGCCTGTGAGCGCTGCTGGCCGTCTCGGAAGCATGAGCCCCGGGTGGATGGATCTCTTTTGCAGAAGCTGCAGGAACCCAAACAGGTGCACGGAGCCAGCGTCAGAGTCCTCAGATGGCTGGTGAGTAAAGAGCTACCTCCCGATTCTTGTCCTGAGTTAGAGCAAAACGTGCGGTGGAGGGACGTTCGGCTTGAGAGTCTGGCGGCCCAGGTCCCTGTCTGCGCGTGGCGGGGTCACGAGCCTGCCTTTTCCTTTGCGTCTTGTTGGCTGTGTTATTGTTGCGTGACGGGAGTTCACCTCCCACCGGGTCTCATCATGATCTGCCCAAGTGTTCCTCCTATTTCCTGCAGCTTTTGTCATCCAGGGAGTAATCTTCCTGGAGCAGGCTTATGCTGGGGATAGGTTTTGGAAAAAGCCAGATTTTCTCAGTCTGAAGGTTACTGCGACAGGACTTTGGTTTTGAAATGTATGGCTAGAACGTAGATGGTCACAGCCTTAAGCCTGTGACCCGTCATAGGTATTTGCACTAGTCACGGTTAAGTTGCTGGTGTCTTCGACATAACCCGTAGACAGACAGATGCTGCTTTAGTTTTTATTTTTGTTATCACCGAGTTAATATTGTCCATATTCTTAACTTGTTCCTGAAGAGCCTCCATCTCGGATCAGATATTTTTCAGGGACTGGCAAAAACACTAACCTTTTCCTAAACTGGCCTTGTGTTCCAAGGTTCAAGTGAGGGCTTGGAAAACCATAGCCCACAGGTCTATCTGGCCCACTGCCTGCTTTTGTAAATAAAGTTTTATTAAAACATGAACACACGCACATATTGTAAATGTATTGCTTCTGGTCGTTTTTGTGCTATGGTGCTGTGTTAAGCATTTGTGACAGAGATTCAATGGCCCACGAAGACTAAAACCTCCAGTATTTGACTTTTAACAGACATTGCAGCACTGTGGCTGGATTTGATTTTATGTGCTTTCAAGATTTCCACCATGAATCTGAGTGGTTTAGAGGATCTCACGTGGAAAAATGAACATTATCTGCACGGGAAGCGATTTTAAACCAGTCAGAAGGGGAGAGATCACCTGAAAGCTGTAGAAGAACGAGGATGGTAGAAATTTGTGAAAAGATATCCTACAAGTATTTACAGGTCCTACCAAGGGCAGATATTTACAAATCCCACCTCAGGTGCCAAGTGAGTGGCAGGAGAACAGAGGACAGTGTTAGTCTCAGACGTAACAAACGGGAGAATCTGTTAGAATAACGAGCACGTGTGATCAGCCTTCATGACGGGTCCAGAAACCCCCCAGCCCCGCGTTACAGGGTTCTGTGGAGGTAAAGTGACCCCTGTAGTGTAGCCTGGTAGGTGGAAACTTGGGAATGGAAATTAATGCTTGTCATTTGTTCATTTTTTTATGAAGTCAGGAAAGGAGATCTTTATCTATAGCTTTCAGCTGTTCGCTGGGGTAGACCTGAGCTTCTAGAAGGCATAGAAGGAAGCCGGTTTTGTTTTTTGTCTTTTATTATTATTATTTTTTTAACAAAGAAAGGTTAGGAAGACTCATAGCTAGTTACTTACTGTGAGAGTTATAATAGGCTCAGGATGCCCTGTTACAGTCCTCAGATAGGGGCAAAAGTATGATAAAACCAAGTTAGCTGTGGAGAAGATCTACTATTGTTCGTCTCATTTTATGGAATTGCAGAAACTGGGGCCAGGAGACCTAGTGATTCTATAAAATTGTCTCTGAAACCTAGGACTTCTCATTTCCTGATCTTTGCTAAATTCTACTACAGGTATTTATTTTTCCCCTCTAATTTATAAGCCAGATTCTCTGCATGTAGAAGACATCTTAGAATTTTCAGCTGCAAGCCTTTCATGGCCTCGGAGCGCTTCATTAAAGACAAGCCAGTCATTCTGCTGAGCTTCAGGGTCACAGATGGGGGAATAAAATATTACCAAAGCCCTTAGGAGTCGACCTTCTCCCTGCTGTGCTGTGTGGCTGCTGCTGTGCGTGGGCTGCCATGCTGGGCTGCAGCATTCTGTAGTTGGAGTCTTCTGTTTTGTAAAATTATTTTTATTGAGGTACAATTGGTTTCCAAACTACATGATTTGCATCTCTTCAAATGTATGTCACTGTTCTGTGTTCACCACCAAAGCACCCACAGTCCTCCACTCGTGGTCATTGAGATCTCCTCCTCCCTTCGCTCCCTGCCCCTTGCTCTCTCCTCAACTCCACAGTCTGATTTCTAGAATTTGTTTTGGTTTAGTTTTGGCTATTCTTTTACCTTCTTTCTCTATCTTCCACCTATGAGTGAAATAATCTGGTATTTGTTTTTCTCCTGACTTCTTTTACTTACCATCATCCCCTCTGGTTCCATCCAAGTTGTCATAACTGCGTAGTATTCCATGTTGCGTATACTACACCTTCCTAATGTACTCTGTTCTGGGGCTTGGATTGTTTCCACAACTTGCTTTGTAAACAGCGCTGCAATGAACATAGGAACACATACATTGCTTCAAATTAGTGTTTCCAGGCCTTTAGATAAATAGGATTGCTTGAACAGAGGGTAGATCTATTTTTAATGCTTTGAGAAAGCGCTATACTATTTTCCAAGGGGCTGGACACCAACAGTGTATGAGGGCTCTTTTTTCTTGTCACCCTCGCCAGCGCTTGTTTCTGGTCTTTTTGATATGAGTCATTCTTGCTGGTGTGAGGTGATATCTCATTGTGGTTTTGGTTTGCACTTCCTCGATAAGGACTTTTTCCATGTGTTTGTTGAACTTCTTTTTGCCTGTGGAGAAGAGTCTGTCTTCTGCTCATTTTTTGATTGGTTATTTGTTTTCTTATTGTTGAGTTGCAGGAGTTCTCAGTAGATCTTGGATATTAGTCCCTTGTTGGATATCTGATGTGCAAATGTTTCCTCCCATTCAGTAGGGTGTCTTTTGTATTAATGATAGTTTCTTTCTCTGCAGAGCTTTTTAATTTGATGAAGCTCCAGTTATTAAGTTCTGTTTTTGTTTTTCTTGTTATTGTGGTTGACTCCCCAAAGACATCATTGAAGCCAGTGTGGCCAAGTGTTTTGCTTATGTTTTCTTTCATGCATTTTATGATTTCAGGTCTTGAATCTACATACTTGACACATTTCAATTTAATTTTGGGGTATAGTGTGAGAGAGATAGTGGTCTAGTTTTACCCTTCTGGTCATGGATTGTCCAATTTCCCAACACTGTTTGTTGGGAAGTTTTCTTTCTCCATTGTATGCTCTTGGCTCCTTTTAGGTAAAGTAACTACTCCTGTAAGTGTGAGTTTATTTCTGTAGAGTGCCCTTTATAGGGTACTTGGAGCACCCACAGCAGGACTATTTGGTGGGGGCAATGGGGTGGGTAGATGAGAAAATCAACAATAGGTAATGAGGGGGAGAGACCTGAATGTCCTGTAACTACCAATCAGTAATTATTTGATTGTTTATTCACCAGGTATTTATTAAGTGCCTGCTGTGCTCTAGGCACTTGGCATACAACAGTGCTCTCAGGGCCCTGGAGGGTCTCCCATTGCAGGTGCCTTCCTGAGGGGGCACTATTTTCCCTGGGAGAAAACTTGGAACACAGACAAGGTGAGATGCTAGACCTGAACAGGAAAGCCTAGTTCTGCATCTTTCCCAGCTCCCCAATTCCGTGCACCTCTTCACTCCCTATTTCACTTCCCTGCAGCTGAGTCCCTGTTACGTTCCCTCTCATGTTCCTTATCTTCACCCTGGTTCTTTTAGGACCTGGTCTCCTCCCTTCCTCTAGCTCCCTTCCTTTCTGGCTCCACTCCTGTTGCTTCTTGCTGGGACTTGCTGAGACCTGGTGTGTGTCCTTGTGCTGTGCTCTGTCCCCCTGGCGCTGCTCAGCCTGTCACCCTCCCTATGTCTGCAGCCGGCTCCGCTCCCTTTGCCAGCTCCTAGCCAGACCCACTGAGCTTGTAGAGGTCCCGACCCTGGATCCCACCCAAAGGCCCGTTTGCCCAGGGGACAGCCCCACCCCCAGTCGTGTCAGGAGTCAGGAAACCAGCCAGGCTCGCATTTCTCTGCTGGCCTCTCTGCGGTAATGGCATGTCAGCGCGCTCATTTAACAATGTGCGTGTGGCACTGTTCTTGCAGGGCCGGAGCGTGGAGAAGACCACGTCCCTCTCCTTCACATCTGCTATTTTCACACAGGAATCGTGGTTGGAATTTGGCTAAGACTTTAGGGCCTCTGAACACACAGTTGCAAAATGATGCATTTGGAGTTGATAAATGTAGACAACGCTTGTAGCTCAAATATCTACTTTGTAAGTTTTCTGTCACTTTCTCACCTCTACTTCCTGTACCTACGCCTGATGGTTTTATTCAGCTAGAGTTAAAGTGATTAGGATTTTAGGCAGTCCAGAGTAAGCGGAAGAGAGATTAGGAGAGAGAATTCTTCAGGTCATGGATGAGATGGGCCCGCTGGGGAGAGATGTGGGAAGTGATGGCCTTTGACTCCAGCTGAGCATGGCCTTCCCTCGGGAGCCACAGAGAGGGGAAATGGCAGCAAAGGACGGGGTGAGGGAGGACGGAGAAGCCGCCTTTCTCACCTTACTCTGTTTTTGTGCGTTTTGCAAGTTGAAGAAACAAATAGTAGCTGTTTTTCTATCTGAGCATGGAAAGTCAGAGGAGCTCTTGGAGTTTATCTGAGGTGAAGTTCAGGTCCTATTTAATTAGTTTATCAATAATAGAAAGCTAGAGCTGGAACAAGTAATTAAATTCATATGCATTTGGTGATCGCTCTGTGGATATGGCAGCCATGGATCCCAATTTCAAGAGGTGCGTTCTGTTGTCTCCTAATAATCCTGTCACCAAAGCCTGCATGTCAGATTTGGTTCAGAAATGGAATCACTGGTGGCTGTTACGGTGTACAGGCAGAATACTAAATTATCTTGTCATCCAACTCGATTTTTATCATTATCTCTTTGGCAATTTTATTGGAAGAAGCCAGGAGCTTGTAAATCATTAAAGGTCAGTAATCACAGTCATAATCTCCTCCCCTGATGGGTCGTCTCTACGACACCCTCTCTCAATTCTGAGTAATATTTCGCTAAAGATTTCAAGGAATTGGA